CAGGAACATCGCAGGGGATTGGCTCCAGTGGCGGTGGCGGCTAGGGTTTAGAAACCCTAACAGATTAGGGCTAGGTTTGGGTTCGGGTTTGGGCATGAAGTTGGGTATTTTTTTTTGGGTCGGGTTTGGGCTTTGATTGCGGGTTTGCTGATTTGTAATTTGGGCTCGGGTCTGTTGGGTTGCTTGTAATAGCCTGTAATAAAAAAAACAATAATAAAATAATAATAAAGCCAAGACGAAAACGAATGTCAACAAATTTATCATAAAATCTCTGATTCAAGAGACCACAACTCCTTCCTCGCCACGATTGTCTACGCTAGCCCAAATTATCGCAGAAGGAAGTTTCTCTGGTCTTATCTCACTTCTCTTGCTTCTCATATCACTGAACCATGGCTACTCATGAGGGACTTTAGTGTCACTTTATCCCTTGATGACCACAAAGGATGCATTTCTTCTAAATCATATAATGATTTCCAAGATATGGTTTTCAACATTGGTATCATTGATATGGGCTACATTGGTCCTGACTATACATGGTACAATGGTCCTTGTTATGTTCGTCTTGGCGGAAGTTTCTGCAATTCCAATTGGTTTGACAGCTTCCCTACTTTGAAGGTTCATCATCTCCTTCGTATGAAATCAGATCATAGGTCTCTTATAGTCTCTCTTTGCGATTCTCACTATCTCAAAAAGCAAAGACCTTTATGATATTTCTATCCTGTAATTTGGAACTTTGATGTTTTTGTCTATATAGGAAACAGAAAAGACGCCTCAAGTCCGACTAAATGGTATTCAACGTTGCATCGATGCCTGGCGCACCATCTTATCAAGCTTGAATCAAAGCTTCAAAATGAGCTGGAATCTATCCTAGAACAATAAGAACTCTCATGAAAGAAAAAATATCTGGCCGTTTGGATCAAGTCCGGTGATAGTAACGCTAAATTCTATCATTCAAATGCTATTATCAATCGAAGAATCAACAATATTTATTCCCTCAATCTTGAAGATGACACTTGGTGTGATGATTCGTCCATCCTCAAAGAAGTCGAAGCGGCTTTTTTCTCTAGTCTATTTACAAATAATGAAGTTATTCACGACATTTATCCCATTACTAGCTTATTCTCAATGACTATTGATCACGATTGTGAAGCCCTCGCCTCCATCCCCACCGAAGATGAAATCAAGACAGATTTTTTCTCGCTCGGTTCTTTATAAACTCATGACTAAAGTTATTGTCCGACGCCTCCAACACATTATGCCTCAAATTATCAGACCGCATCAAACCAGTTTTGTTGCTGGGAGGAATATACCATACAAAATAATCCTTAATCAAGAGGTAATTCATTCGATGAATTCTAAGAAAGGCAAAACTGGTTGGATGGGCATCAAAGTAGACCTTCAGAAGACATTCGATCACCTCTGATGGGACTCCATCTAGAATACCTTACAAGATGTTGGATTCCCTTATGCTGTTATACGGATCATTATTCACCACATCTGAACATTCTTTTATGAAGATCCAATGGAACGACAATTTAAGCGAGGTCTTCAAACTAGGAAAAGGCATTTGACGAGAGGTCCCCGTTCCCTTCTCTGCAATGGAACGACAAGTCACTTCATCTCTCTTGCAGGCAACAATAAATCTTGGTCCCCTTTCAGATTTGTTCATAATGGTGCCTTTATTTCTTATCTCTTTTCCGCTGACGATTTAATTCTTTAAAGAAAAGCGGATTTAGATCGAGCTACCACCATCGAGAATATTCTTGATACCTTCAATTATTTTTCGGGACATATGGTCAACAAATCAAAGACAAAAATTTATTTCTCTCTTAACACCGACCCTTTGATGTGACGTTCTATAAACTCTCGTTTTGGTTTCCAAATACCATCTAAATTGGGTTCTTACCTAGGCGTCCTTCTTAGACATAAAGACATCAATTATGATATCTAACAAGGTATTCTCAAGAACAGTCAAAGACGATTAGATGGTTGGTCTCCATTCACCCTCTCATTTGTCGGTCGAATAACTCTAGCAAAGAGGGTTCTTGTGGCTATTCCCACCTATTTCATGCAATCTTTCTTGCTCCTCATCCATATCTGCGAGAAGATTGAGAGATTAGTTTGTCGCTTTATTTGGAGTTCAAATGAGGCTCCTTCATTACTCGCTTTAGTCATTTGGAATACTCCGTTATCATCATTGACAATGATCTCATTCAAGATGCAATTTCTATTGATGGGGACTGGAATTGGACTCTCCTCCATCGACTGCTACTCCAAGTGCGATCACTCTTGTCCAAGGTGTACATCTACCTTCCCCTTCAAATGACAGTGACCTTAGTTTCTAGAAAGAAGCTAAGAACCGAAAATTTTCAATCATAAGTATTTACATATGCCTTGATAAAAATTGCTGGAGCGAGAAGCATCCCAAATAGAATCTGGTTTGGAAGCTGTCTGTTCCAGAGCGTGTCTGATCGTTAATTTGGATGGTCATCTGCAACAACATTTTATCCAATGAAACTCGATGTAACCGGAGATTAACTCACGATGCATCCTGCCCCGATATGTTGTTCTCCTCTAGAATTAACCCTTCACGTCCTTCGCGACTGCCCAAACATAATAAGTTTAAGATCTTCATTTCTCCACAACAAACATCACACACATTTCTTCAATCCACACCTAAGTGATTGAATTATTTGGAACCTTACTTCTACCATACTTTGCCCTTTTTCTGAAACCCTTGGAGTATTATATTTGTTGTTGCTCTCTGGAAATTGTGGAAGAGGCGCAATACGACCATCTTCCAAGGTGAGGCCATCACTAGTTTCCAGCTTCTCAATTGGTGCTTATCTTGGGCAAATGCAAGTTTCAACAACCACAACAACAAAGCTTTCAGGAAGTTTTTTAGAGTTGATAGAGTCCAATGGCAACCCCCTCAACATGGTTGGATCAGACTTAACACAGATGGAGCAGTTTCTCTGGCAAACAAATCTGATTCAGCAGGAGGTCATGGGTTTCAAGAAGATTCTCGGCATCACTACTGTGCTTCAATCAGAACTATGGGGTGTCTATGAAGGTCTCAAGTTAGCATAGTCCTGTGGTTTTGAAAAAGTTTCAATACAAGTTGACAATGTCGATGTATTCAAGCTCTTATCATCCGACCCTTCCAACAGCCCCTACTCTCTTGTAAGAGCCATCAACGCTTTTCATCAACAAAACTTGGTTTATTGACATCAATCTCATCCGACAAGAAGCAAACGAAACAGCTGATAAAATCCAAAAAAAAAAAACTCACATCAACTGGCACCTTAACAGTTTTTGATGTAGCTCCAGCTTTCCTGTTTAAATTCCTGCACATAGACGTTCATGGTCCTACTCATGGATGACTAGTCTCAACTTGATGTAATCGGCCTCTGCCTCCCTTAAAAAAAAAGATGTACTTAAATGTGCATCACGTATATATATATATATATCCAAAAAGATAATCACGAAAAAAAATCACATTAAGGAGCTTTTAAAACTATCAATATTGTAAAATAAGGGATGGAATTCAATGTTCGTTACATTAATTGCAACAAATTAATTGTTTGTGTTTAAATCACGTGTGTAATTTGGAAGGCATTTTTGGGTGAGAAAAAACAAATGAGAAGGTAGTGGTTGTTACATCAAACACTCCCTATGACTTTTGGCCACGTGTTTGACACTTAAATTAAGAAAAGGGCAATATCGACATGAATCCTCAATATCCAATTACATGATGACAACACATCAACTAATCTGATGTGTTCAAATATAATTGGCGGAACTGCTGTCAGATTTTCTTCGGGCCTTGGAGATAATTTATAATTTTAAGTTTCAAATATTATTTAAAGTGAAAATTTGTTATATTAATAAAACAATTAACAATATGACATTAATAATAAATTATGTATGAATTATTTATGTCATTATTATAAAATTTTAATTATTTAATCATTATTTTTATTAAAATAAAATGAAATAAAATATTAAACATTAAATTTAATTAAAATTAAAAATTAAATTTATTATTAATATACTTAAAGAAAATTATGATTAAACTTTAAAAATAGATTCAAAGAAGAACATATTTTTTAATTAATTTGTGTTTAGTACTTTTTAGAACGTAATTGGAATGAATCTTTTAAAGTACCACTTTTGGACACGTGGTAGCAAAAAGTGTTACGTGGACCCAATTCTCACTACTGTCATAACGTCAAAAGAACAAGGATAAAATCGTCAATGAACATTAAGCTCCCAAATACCCAATTTGTCCGAGTCTTCAACTGTTTTTTCCTTCTTTATTACTCTCTCCTCTTTGAGTTTCGGTTTTATGCCCTTGGTTCTTTCGGTATATTCTTTTAGCTTTGCTTCTCCGTGTAGCACAAAAATTTGGAAATAAATCTTTCCTTTCTTAATTTTTGTTCAAATTTCTCTTCTTCTAACATCCAACAATTTCTCATTCAGGTTAGCTTTAAAAGATTTGATCTTTTCAATAGAAAAACACTGTCTTTTATGCATTTCTGTGTTGTTTTTTGTGAAATTTATGTAGATTTTTATTATGGGTATTTCCATTTTTTTCTTGGTGTGTTGTTTTTGGCTTTTTTTTTTGCTTTCATTAGTGCATCCGGGGATTTGGTAAGCTGCTGTTTTTTTATGTGAAGTTTTGATTTGTTGGTATGGTTTATAATGATGGGTATTGGTTAAATTTATGTGCTTTTGGATCTGGAAACTGAGTTTCCTATGATTGATCCGTTATTCTCTTTTGCTCTTGCTTCATAGTTTGCATTTTGGTTTTGTTCTAGAGATTTTGTTTGTGTTGTTTATTTAGATCAACCATTAAACTTCCTAGAAATGAATCTGTCTAAAGCCATTGTCTTCTTCCTCTTTTCTATCTATAATTCCGAGACAAATTTTGACTCTTTGGATATGAATTTATTTCACTTGCCATTTTGGTTGGTGATTGAGTTGTTTTTATGTTGATCATTCATTTTTCTTTTGTTATTATATTTCTTCTACAAGGTATTTTATGCTGAAACTTAAGAGTTTTGAATGCAGCGTATCGGTTCACTTTTTTGTAGGAGATATGTTTGTTCCTCATGAATGCTGATTAGGGGTTGGTGAATGATTGTATGAAACTGGTATGCTTTCCTAGTAACTACAGCGAAGATGATGGTGGGATGACATGTTATGTTATTGACAAACTCTCCACATAAATGGAACTAAATTCTAGAATCTAGAGCTTGTTGATTTCTTGATTAAAAATATAGACTAGATGGAATAAAGTAGCTAGGAAGTTATTACAACTTTCCTTTTGCTAACTTCTTTATAGACGTTTGGAGAATCTTTGGCTCTCGTCGTAATCTGTTGGAGGGATATTGTTAAGCAGAAGCTATCTGCTGTGCCTTCTAAACTTGAATTTGCAATAACTTTTAGGAGTATTTATATTGATCTCTGGATTTAAAGTGTTGTGGAGATGTTAAATTCACCTCAAGGGCATAAGCAGAGCCTCCAAAAATCCATGCGAAAAGTCTCATCCGGTGCCTCACATAAAGATTTGTGGCTTGCTGTGCAAGAAGGGTCCTTGCCTGATGTAGATTCAGCATTGGCGCTATTGAAGAAGAATGGAAGTAATATCAATTCAAGGAACAGTTTGGGTCTGACTCCTCTTCACATTGCAACCTGGAGAAACAACATTCCCATTATTCGAAGGCTTCTAGCAGCTGGTGCTGATCCCGATGCTAGGGTGTGTAATCCTTCTTATCCTTTTGTTGATCAAATGATTTCAAGTTCGTCGTGGATGTCGATCAACTATCCTGCTTTAGAACATTGATGATCTTTTTTTAAACATCATGAAGTCATAGAGATGTATGATGGTGCAATTAGCTTCAAGCCTCTTTTTGTGACTATTCATAATCCTTGTTCCAGGATGGAGAATCAGGGTGGAGTAGCCTTCATAGGGCTCTGCATTTCGGTCATCTTGCTGTAGCAAGTGTTCTTCTCCAGTCTGGTGCTTCTATTACATTGGAAGATTCAAAATGTAGAACACCTGTAGATCTCTTGTCAGGACCTGTCTTGCAGGTTTTTGGAAGTGAGCAGGATTCAGGTACCTGCTACTGTCTTGACATACTGGAAAGCCTCTTATTATTGTACAAAAAATAAAATCTGTGTCAGAGTATAACATAGTATTTATTTGTGTTTTTAGTAGCTACTGAAGTGTTTAGCTGGGGAAGTGGTGTGAACTATCAACTTGGAACTGGAAATGCCCACATACAAAAGCTACCTTGCAAACTTGATTCATTTCATGGCTCTAAAATCAAGTTGATTTCTGCTGCTAAGTTCCACAGTATAGCTGTCACAGCTCGTGGAGAAGTCTACACCTGGGGCTTTGGAAGAGGGGGCCGTCTTGGGCATCCTGACTTTGACATTCATAGGTAAAAGATTTCTTGTGCCGTTGCATAATATAGGTATTAGTAGCTTAATGGTGCTTCAAGTAGGAACTCTAAATTAAATTTAAGCCGTGGAAACTCTCGATATTGAATTTTGTTGGTTTAAAGTTTCCGTCATATTTTTTTCGTGGTTTTGAAGCACCATGCTGAAACTTTTAAAAGTTTGGGATAGTTTTATTTGCTATTTTTATATGGGGTATGGAAGATCATGTTAATCAACAACCTTAAAAACAATGCGAGTCAACTATGGTGAACATATTTTTCCTTCTATAATTTTCAGTGGTCAAGCTGCAGTTATCACTCCCCGCCAAGTGACTTCTGGTTTAGGGGCTCATCGGGTGAAAGCAATTGCTGCAGCTAAACATCACACTGTAATTGCTACTGAGGGTGGGGATGTGTTCACTTGGGGATCCAATAGAGGTAAAAAAACTTATGGGTTATGCTAGCAAGAAATGTTGACCATTTGAGATTATGGTTGCATCAAGTGAATTTTCGTTTTCCTATAAAAAAAAAAGTGAATTTTCGTTTGTTCTCTTAATTGATTCAAAATCACTTCTGCTTGTTGATCAGATGGCTAACATTCTGCTTTTTGTTTCATAAATCATGTGCTTATCAATTAGAAATGTTGTTTTATACTTCTTTTATTGGGCAGAGGGTCAGCTGGGCTATACATCTGTGGATACCCAACCAACACCACGGAGAGTAAGTTCACTTAGATCGCGAATAGTTGCTGTTGCTGCTGCAAATAAGCATACTGCTGTTGTGTCTACGTCTGGCGAAATTTTCACATGGGGCTGCAACCGAGAGGGTCAACTTGGCTATGGCACCTCTAATTCAGCATCAAATTACACACCAAGAATAGTTGAGTATTTGAAAGGCAAGTTCTTTGTAGGTGTAGCAACTGCAAAGTACCACACAATTGTTTTGGGAGCTGATGGTGAGGTAAGCATACCAGCACTATCGATAATTGAATTGTTCTATATTTGCACTAATATTTAAACCCAAATGCTTGGATTCAAAATGTTTACTTTTATCAGGACGAGTTCCAGCATCTTTGGTTTCAGTTTTCTTTTCACCTGTTACTGTGAAATTCAATTTTTTTTTTCTGTATGGTACTAACCCTAGTAAAACTTGTACGGCAGGTATATACCTGGGGTCATCGACTAGTCACACCTAGACGAGTTGTCATTACTAGAAATTTAAAAAAGAGTGGAAGCACCCCCATGAAATTCCATCGGAAGGAACGACTTCATGTGGTTGCAATAGCTGCTGGGATGGTACATAGCATTGCTATGACTGAAGATGGAGCATTATTTTATTGGGTTTCCTCAGATCCTGATCTTAGATGCCAACAGGTTCTATTCCTTTGTATTTGTTGTTTTTTTCTTCCGTACAAGTACATCTTATTCACTCCCCCTGGTTGAATTTGTACAGTTATATTCGATGTGTGGAAAAGAAATGGTAAGCATATCTGCGGGCAAGTATTGGACTGTGGTTGCCACTGCTACAGGTGATGTTTACATGTGGGATGGCAAACAATGTACAGACAAAACACCTGTTGCAACTCGGTTACATGGCATTAAGAGGGCTATATCAGTTTCAGTCGGTGAAACTCATCTTTTGACTATTGGTTCTCTCTACCACCCTGTGTATCCTCCCAATATGCGCAGAATTGATGAGGAACCAAAGTTGAAAGTTAATGATGAATTAGAAGAACTTGGTGAGGAATGTATGTTTGATGATTCAGAGTCAAGTAGCATAACGTACGTGCATAAAAATGACTCTGAGAAGAAGCCCATACCAAGCTTAAAGAGTCTTTGTGAGAAAGTCGCAGCAGAGTGTTTAGTAGAGCCAAGGAATGCAATTCAACTACTTGAAATTGCAGATTCTCTTGGAGCGGATGATCTGAAGAAGCATTGCGAGGTTAGCTCTTGAAAGGCCTCAAAGATTATGTGTAGAATTTTTATCTGGTCTTCATAGGATCTTCGTGTGCCTCGTGATGTTTTTGTGGAAATTTTATGATAGTATGCCGAAATTTGAACCATATTAGACCATTCAGGCTTTACCTTGATGTGCCAAACCTCGGTGGTTGAAAAAGAATAAGTAATACAAAGCTAAAAGATTCAACCCATAACACATGATTTCTTCTTGTTGTGCCTCCAAAGTCAGTGATCTATTCTGTAATTTTTCGGGCCTCCAGATCGTATCGACATTTACTTCTTGTGCTACTTGTGATATTTCTTTGTTTGGAACAATGTATGTAGTTTGCATAGTTCCAAACCAATTCTGACCTAAAAGATTATCTGTCAGATTAGCTTATAGGAATTGTGTCGATAGTTTCTTTAAGGTTTCTTGACATAAGGTTTAGCAGGAATATACTCTGACCTCAAAATTGGTCTTCTGGAATGCAGGATATTGTTATTCGTAACTTGGACTATATTTTAACAGTTTCATCACAAGCTTTTGCTACTGCTGCACCAGATGTTCTAGCTAATCTTGAGAAGTCATTAGACCTTAGATCATCTGAATCATGGAGTTACCGACGGCTTCCCACTCCCACGGCTACCTTTCCGGTTATAATTAATAGCGAAGAGGAGGATAGTGAAGGCGAGGTTCTAAGGACCCGTAATAACAAGAAGAATAAGAACCTTTTGGAAAATGAAGGAGACAGATCAGATTCCTTTCTGCAACCTAAAGATGATCCTAACGTTGGTATTTCCAAACAAGTTCGAGCTTTGTGGAAGAAGTTGCAGCAGATTGAGGTGCTTGAAGTGAAGCAGTTGAGTGGATGCATCCTTGATGACCAGCAAATTGCAAAGTTGCAAACAAGACCTGCTATTGAAAATTCTCTTGCTGAGATAGGTGTTCCGGTTGAAAGATTGCAGTTGAAAGGATCATCTTCATTTCTACCTGATGGAAAAGGAAATAAAAAGGCCGAGGTTTCGAGAAAGCAGAAGAGGAAGAACAAACAAAGGGTAGCTCAAGATGAGACAGTATCTGGTTTTAGTATTAGTGACAAAATGAAATCTGTGAAGGACTTCCCTGACATTGAAATCCCCCAAGTTTTAATGAGCAAGGTTATAGATTTCTTGAATTTATTATATGTACATGTAAATATATTTCAGAATGCATCTCTTATAAATTACTGAAAGGAAAAAGAAGGTTAAGATCACTTGAACAATGCATCATATTTGTTGAAATCTTTGTGACTTGTGACAGGAAGAAAATGCTAGGTCAGAAGGAGCTACAGCAAACGAAGCCTCCGAAGAGTCTACTTTCTTTGTTCAGAAAAAGGAGAGTTCGGTGCCCGCAAAAGATAAGGGTACTCCACAAACAGCAACCAAGAAGAAGAATAGGAAAGGTGGACTCTCTATGTTTCTGAGTGGTGCTCTTGATGACACCCCCAAACAAGTTACTCCCCCGCTGCCATCAACACCGCATAGTGAGGGCCCTGCATGGGGTGGTGCAAAGGTTTCAAAGGGATCTGCTTCACTTCGTGAAATTCAGGACGAGCAGAGCAAGCTACAGGTGAATCAGCAAACTGGAAGCAAAACCCAAGTGGAAGATCTTTCTGCTGGTAAAGGTGAAGGTAAAATCCTGCTGAGTTCATTTTTATCATCCAAGCCAATTCCCGTGGTCTCGGTTCAATCATCACAGGCACCTGATGTACAGAAAAGCACGCCTCCTTGGGCTTCTTCCGGTGCCCCTCCTCATCCGTCTCGTCTGTCTCTCAGGGACATCCAAATGCAGCAGGTATGTAAAGTACATGCATTCTTGTCTGGCTTCATAATTTATATATAGAAAATTGCAATCATTTTCTTTCTTCTTGCTTGGTATTGTTCTAATCATGGCCCCTTTCATGCTATGTATCTTCTGCAAATAGGCTCTATGCACTCTTATCTGATCGTGCAATTTTGCACGACCTATGTTTTTCATTCTGGTGCCTCTAACTAAATGCAGGGGAAGCAACTGCAGAGTTTTTCTAACAGTCCGAAAATGAAAATGTCCGGGTTTTCAGTAGCTTCTGTTCAAGGGTCACCATCTGATTCTCCAGGGATGAACCGCTGGTTCAAACCGGAGGTGGAAGCACCATCAACAATTCGTTCAATTCAGATCGAAGAGAGGGCTATGAAGGACCTTAAACGCTTCTACAGCAGCGTCAAAGTTGTAAAAAACCAGTCATAAGAGAGCCAATTGATACTTGGCTGTTTCAAGTGGTACCAAGGCTTTATTTTCTCACCTCGGTGGTTAAATGTAAATTTGACTGTACAGATCTTCCAGTGCATTTAATCACCTTTTTAAGGTTAACTTCAACATAACCTCTTTTTTTTTAGATCATGGAAGATCTTTTAAGTTTTTCTTGGTCTAACTTATGAAAATAATGTTCATCTCTGGGAACTCGTTTCTTGGATTTTTAGCTCATTTTTTGTATAATCAGAAAGCAATAAATTGAGCCTTTCAACTTTATCAAATACTGAGAGTTTTCCACTAAATTTCGCGGTGCTAATTATCCCATATGATCATTAATATAAACGAATTAAATATATCTCTGTTTGCGTTTATTATTTTATTAAATGAAAATAAAAGTTTTATTTATACTCGTTTAGTTAAAACGAACTAAATATATCTAAGTTAGTATTTATTATTTTATTAACATAAAAGTTTTATTCATACTTATTTATTTAAAATGAATTAATTATATCTCTATTCGTTTTTATTCTTTTATTGAATGAACATAAAAAAAATATTTATATTCGTTTATTTAATCTAATAAACGTAATATGGTCCCGTTAAAGGACAAGAGAACGAAGTTAAACATAATAAGGTGTCAATATGAAAGTAGTTGATATTTACTTGTTAAACACAAAAGCAACACACAAAGATCTTCAAACCCTTTTCCCTTTGGCCCAAAATGGAAGAAATGATTAGTCAACAACATTGATTGGAATATTAGGATGTATGTTTTTTTCCCCTTTAGCTTTTTGCAATGAAAGGACTTCAATAGGAAAGACATGTATGTTACAAATAGAAAAGGGAAAAGGGGGTGCAAAGAAACGATTGATTAGAAATATAATGGACCCTTTAATGGAGGCAGTGGTAATGGAGGCAGTGGTGGGTTGAGTATTTGGGTGATTCTGATGTGCGACTCTTAAAAAAATTTAAAAAATGACGTAATCTGTTAAATAAGTGATCGATTAAAATTTAGATCGATTATGTTATATCATTTAATCGAAAATATTATCAAATACAATAATATATTAGGTAGCGCTTATATTGACCTATTTTCTAACTAAACAGGTATATTTAAACCGGCAACATTACAAATTTACCTATTACATTATAATTATTGGTTTTGATGTTTTTGGAATTGATACAATTTTAAATGTATCGACACTTTATGTGTGCACCTCGTTGTGCTTTCATTTTGGGAAAAAAAATATCGACACATATTTAAAGAGTGTCGATACATAATGTAAACATATTTGCTAATTAACCAGTATATTTTTACTAGTTACATTGTAAATTTACCTGTTACATAATAATTATCGATTTCGATGTTTTTAAATCGATACTTTTCATAAATGTATCGACACTTATGTGTGCACCAGTTTGAGTTCTTCAATCATAAGTTTATTCTTTAAGAAACTAAAATTGGCCTAACTTTATCCTACGTAGATAATAAGAGTATATCATAAGTTTGCGTTGAGAGATGTTTGTCAATGTTATTCTTTTGTTACTACAAAGTTTTTTTTATTTTCTTACTGGGTTTTGCTTAAAATATTCAACTTTTTGTATTAAAAAATAAAAATTCTGAAATAAAAATGATCTCACAAGCACACTTTTTTACTACCGGTTTTGTCATTTCGAGATCGATTTTGTCATATTTTTACCTGTTATATTGTTATGGATCGATACATTTTTATAAAGTATTGACACTTTCAATATATCCGGTAGCGCTTTACATGTTTTGTCATTTATAGACCGGTTTTGTCATTTTTTTACTTGTTATATTGTTATGGATCGATACATTTTTATAAAATATCGACACTTTCAATATATCCGGTAGTGCTTTACCTGTTTTGTCATTTATAGACCGGTTTTGTCATTTTTTTACCTGTTATATTGTTATGGATAGGTACATTTTTATAAAGTATCGATACTTTCAATATATCCGATAGCGCTTTACCTGTTTTGTCATTTATAGACCGGTTTTGTCATTTTTTTACTTGTTATATTGTTATGGATCAATATATTTTTATAAAGTATCGACACAAACCGACAAGCTAAGTTTGCCGGTTGCCAAATTTTTTAAAATTTCTTTATGATTTCCACCTATTACATTATTATTACTCGATATTTCCGATAGCGCTAAACCGAATTTGTTAAATATCTTTTAATGTATTCGGTAACGCCGTATATTAACCGTATATTAGTCCGCCTTTCCAGAGACAATCTCGAGTATTTGAGGAAAAAAGTTTCAAGTGTCAAAGGAAAGAGAAAATAACCTCAGTGACCAAAAATGCCTTATAATATACGATTTTAACCAACTTTTTTTGGATTTGCCAAAATGACCAACTAAATCGCAATGCGATCGATAATTCGCAACGCGATCTCCGGTATCGCAAATCAGTTTCCAAATTCGCAACGCGAACTTCGACTATCGCATTGCGATTTCCATATTCGCATTGCGATAGTCCAAGTTCGCGTTGCGATTTATTCCAAGTTCGTTGCGATAGTCGAAGTTCGCGTTGCGATTTATTCCAAATTCACTGCGATAGTCGAAGTTCGCGTTGCGATTTATTCCAAGTTCGTTGCGATAGTCCAAAATCGCAACGACGATATTTCATTTGTTTCTTAAGAATTTTCTCTAAAAAGATAGTATTCGCGCGGACGTATCGAAGACACGTATTACCACGACCACGACCACGACCACGACCCGACCAGAGACGAGACGGACGGCGGCGGCGCGCGAGAGTCTCCCTTGTTCTCTATCACTCAACATGGAAGTGGGAAAGCCAAGCCTTAAATATCATTCCCAATAGTGTTTCCAATACTATGTGGGATTGAGCATTACCAACACTTGTTCCCAATACTATGTGGGATTGAGCCTTAAATAGTGATATTATTTTTGAATGTTTTGCTTAAAATTGCAATAATCGCGATTGATTGTAGATTGACATTTAATTATGACATATTTAATCGTATAATACTAATGCAATTGGTTGTTGATTCAGTTGTTTTAAGGTGCAAGATTGTTAATTGTTTCCTGAATAATCACATTGTATTGGAAACAAGTGTTGGTAATGCTCAATCCCACATAGTATTGGAAACACTATTGGGAATGGTATTTAAGGCTTGGCTTTCCCACTTCCTTGTTGAGTGATAGAGAACAAGGGGGACTCTCGCGCGCCGCCGCCGCCGCCGTCCGTCTCGGGTCGTGGTCGTGGTCGTGGTCGTGGTCGTGGTCGTGGTCATACATGTCTTCGACACGTCCGCGTGAATACTATCTTTTTAGAGAAAATTCTTAAGAAACAAATGCAATACCACCAGTTGTTGTGATTTTGGACTATCGCAATGCGATTTACATATTCTCATTGCGATAGTCGACTATCGTATTGCGATTTACATATTCGCATTGCGATAGTCGACTATCGCATTGCGATTTACATATTCGCATTGCGATAGTCCAAATTCGCATTGCGATTTACATATTCGCATTGCGATAGTCCAAGTTCGCATTGTGATAGTCCAAGTTCGCATTGCGATAGTCAAAGTTCGTGTTGCGAATATGGAAACTGATTTGCGATACCGGAGATCGCGTTGCGAATTATCGATCGCATTGCGATTTAGTTGGTCATTTTGGCAAATCCAAAAAAAATTGGTTAAAATCGTATATTATAAGGCATTTTTGGTCACTGAAGTTATTTTCTCCAAAGGAAAATTCCAAATTTTGATGTGATAGCATTCTATTAACAACCGATCAAGTATTCTTATTTCTTTCTGTTGCGTAAAGAATAATACAAGTTAACCGCTATAGTTAATGACGAAATCAAAATTAAATATTAAAAAGGATCGAAATATTATATTAATTTAAAAAATAAAATAGTTTATTAGGTATCAACATTTAAAAATTCAGCACGAACCAATCGATTTTAGTGATTAAATTATTGTTGTTATTATTGAGGTCCCAAATTTCAGCATTACGTATGTAAGAGTATGTACTTTTATTGTTAAATAGTTGAGAGTCTTTGTACAGTTAATATTTTGTATTCACCCAAATTTATATATATAAACTAAAAATTCATAAGAAAACACCTAATTTGTATAATATTTAAACTTACACCGACTTAAATTTTTACTATACAAAAAATTTGAGAACATGAAGTTATTATTCTTTAATTATTTTTTATTTTAAATAAAATTGGTGATTTCTTAAAAAAAATAAAAATAACAACCCACATCTCAAATTTTTAAGTTTTCCTAAATTGGCTAGGTGAAGATATAAAATCAATCCACAACCAAAATGAAAAAGAAAATCCAAAATAAATATTAAACTGAATTTAAAATCAATATATTAAAAAAATCAACAAAGTGAAAAGAAAAATGAAATATGGCATTTATCCAGCAAGTGACATGTGCCTAGTAGACAGTACCTTACTTGCATGTCAAGTTGGTAGATTGTCTCCCATTGCTTGGCAACCAAACCACATAAACAAATCTTGGAAATTAAATGACTTAAGTGCAAACTTCATTCACTACCTAACTAGTAAAAGAGAATAATGATGTTTTTTCTTAGAAATCTCGATTCGAATAATTATTTTTATAAAATATATGTACGAGATTATAAATTCTAAATATAAATTATATTATTAAGAGAAATACTAAATTAAGAGAAATTATCTAAAGAAATAACACGTGTCAACATGAGAATCTTTAAAGGATTCTTTTAATCTATAGTGTAGATGTTAGTCTCGTGTTATTTTATCAATAAGATATTTTTTTATATAATATCACTCTTTTAAATACTTTTCATCTATATATTAAAAGATATATAGATTAAAATATATTAAATTATAAATCTTTTTATATATTATATTAATATTATTTAATTAAATTAAACTCCATTGATATTTATAATATTTTTATAAAACTGTTGGCGTCATTTTTTAGGTCTAAAGTTATTTAATAATAATGTTATTTTTAATAGTACACAGTGATAATAAGATAATATATGTTTAGAATTTTTTAACTAATTGATAACACATACATACCCTACAGATATAGTTCTCGAATTCAAGACTTCTAAGAAAAATAATAGTTCCTTTATCATATAAGTTTTTTTAATTAAGCTAAAGGTAATTACAAAAGTAGTATTTGTTCTAAATAATAATGATGAGTTTATGCAAAAATAATTGTCGAAACGATTTTTTACAAAAAAAAAAATTGTTTTTATTAAGTGTTTTTAA